TAAAACCCAAACGCTGCGCCCTACACCCTAAACCCTGCGCCCCAAAACCGTAATCCACCTCTTGAGTTGGAGGATCAGATGCACAAGCAATATAGGGGCCTTAATAATTAGAATAGGGTCTTGGGGCCCATTATAGTATGGTTCCCTTAAAGGGTGTTACTATAATGGTTACTATAAGGGTTCTATAAGGGTGCAGACTCAACTTAGGGCCCTTAATAATTAGACAAGAGTTTTGGGGCCCATTATAGTATAATTAGAATAAGGACGCCTCCCCCCCTCCCCACATAGTATTCGTAAATATATTTAAGCCCCTATAGTAGCTGCACCTGTAAACCATACACCCTGAAACCTAAAACCCTCAACGGCCCTACAGCCACACATCCTCAAGACTGAACCCTAGCGAACCCTGAAAGGGCCCCACAGACCTACAACTCTAAACCCTAAACCCTAAACCCTAAACCCATGAATGTAAATCTCAAATGGAACTCTTCCCTTCAAGGAACGAACCTCTAAAGGAACCCCTAAACGAGCCCCTAAGGCCCCTAAAATTCTTCAACGAAACCCTAAACCCAAAAACCCCAAACCCTACAAGGAACCCTTAAAGAAGCCTTAAAGGAGGCCTTAAAGGCCCCCTATGAAACAAGAACCCTAAACCCTAAACCCCCCTAAAGGCCCCCTATGAAACAAGAACCCTAAACCCTAAACCCTAAACCCTAAACCCTAAACCCCTAAACCCCTAAACCCTAAACCTCAGATCGCCGCTTCGAAGGAGTGCCTGGAGATGCCTGGAAGGCCGAAGGCCACGGCCTCCAGGGAGGCGGGGAGGCCCAAAGGGGCCCCTAGGGTTTAGGGCACTGTTTAGGGTTTAGGGTTTAGGGTTTAGGGTTTAGGGGTTTAGGGGTTTAGGGGTTTAGGGGTTTAGGGTTTAGGGGTTAGGGGTTTAGGGGTTTAGGGGTTTAGGGTTTTTCTATATAGGGGTGTATTGAAGGCTTTTAGGGTTTTCACAGGTTTTGGGGTGCGTTTATCTCACTGGTAACTAGGAGGGGGGAGTATAGGGACGACTATAAGAGAGTATATAAGGACTGGTATAGGGATCTACTCTCCCACTCCCTCTCAAGCACCAGTAAGTAGTTTAAGGGTTGCAGGAATCCGTAGGTTTGGCAAGGGCTTTAGAAGGTTTCAACCGGGTTTTAGAAGGTGTTTGTAATATAAAAGGGCTGTATTCTATAGCAGTCAGGGCAGTAGGGGTCCCGGGTGAAGCACGGCCATAAGTGAAAGTAGGTATGGCTACCGCAAGGCCCAAGGTGGGGTTTAGTAGGAATTAAGGATGCAGCCAGCCAACAGCCTAGTAAACCTATGTGGTAAGCCCGATACGCACTCTGGCAGTCCATAACTCATCTTACTAATCCCACTTGCGAAATCGAGTGAACGTCCAAGTAATCTCTCAACTCTACACGCTCTAGAACCAAGAAAAATCAATCAGACGTCTTGCAAGAACCCTTTCAAACCCCGCAAAACCCGAGAAAGCCACGAGGATAGAAAGCCGAATTGAACTCTATCAACAGAGTCCCCTTATGCTTCCCTTGCCAGTATACTTTAGCACCCCCTTAAACCGGATTTCAGTTAGAAAGGCAGCGGCCCCGATAAATCCCCAATAAAACCTCCGGCCTCGACCACAAACACCGAGTGCTTCCCGAGAAAGCCTGACTCGGCCTTGATGGAGGGCTTATAGGGCTTTGTGAAGCTTTTGATGAGGCTTCCATGGGTTTCTATTGTAGCTTCCATAAGGGCTTTGCACAAGTTCCTTATAGCATCTTTCAATGCTAACCCTGAGGACTGGTATCAGTATCTATTCCGACCTCGAACCAAAGTTGAAAGTTCTAGGATTGCACGATTTCCAGCAAGCACCCACAGAGCCAAAAGTTGGAAACTGGAAAGGACCAAAACCTAAACCCACATTTGTAGTGTGCTTTGAGGACCTGAGGACACTACTGTGAGGTTTCAGGCTTAAGGTATCCAGCATTCACGATGTCAGGGTGTTCGGCCCTGACGGGTTTAGGGTTTATGGTTCAGGGTTGGTCGGGTCCGGGAGGTAAGTGTCTTGAAGCTTGGAGCTTAGGATTCAAGGAGGGGAAAGTCGCCCGTGCTTGCTAAGTTCCCCCTCCCAAAATCCTTAGCTTCTTCATGGTAGGCATATGTCCGCAAAAAGGCTAAAGGGTACCGACTCGGCTCACAACATGCCAAAAGGTTAGGCTTCGTGCCTCTCAGTCTAGAGGCTCGGAGTAGGTCGGCTCCTCTTGAAGGATCATTTGCACATGCAACTTTGGTTGCACTTAGCTGTAGATCTAACTACTCGGCAGTCTAAACCTGATATATCAATCCTAAACCCTAAAACTCCAAGCCAAACCCCTAAGCCCCAAATCCTGAGCAGTCACTCAACTCGAGCTGCTGGGCCACGGACCTCGATCCGCGGTATTGTCAGCCTGGCAGACATCAAAGGACTCGGCAGACTTCCTGTGGAGCCCAGTTACAGTACCTATGCAATGCATTACGGTTTAGAGTTTTAGGGTTCAGGGTTCAGGGTTTAGGGTAGCTTTTTTGGGGTACCTAGGTTTATGATAAGGATCTGCTTGTAAGACACGTAGGTACCTTAAACAAGGTATGGCAGATGACCCTATAGGTACTGTTCAAGCGGTCTAGTACCCATAAGCCAGTAACCCACTATGGAGTTGCCGAAATTCTAAATCTGAACCCTGACCCTCAGATGCTAAATCCCAAAAACCTCGGACCTCAAACCCTAAGGTTGAAACCCCCCAAACCTAGGCCCTTATATACCCTATTACATAGACAACTGGCCTTTTCGGAAATCAGGCACTCAACGCAACTCAGTACTTCTCGAATTTCTGGAAGGTTCAGGGGTTAGGGGCTTCAGGGGCCAAGTGTAGGATTCAGGGTTTAGGGGTCAGGGGCCAAGTGTAGGATTCAGGGTTTAGGGGTCAAGGGGTTTGGGGGTTGACTGGTCCAGCTTAGAGCTTGTATGGTGTCTGTGGCGTTCACCAGCCCGACACCCGCAACAGCCCGAAACTCTAAACCTGAAACTTGTAAATGCAAAACCCCCTCGCTCGACAGCATCACAAAAACCATAATGCGCTGAAGTCTCCTATCGAAAACTCAAGCCCCAAACTCTGAAGTTTAAACCAAAACCACCTAAGCCTCTTTTCGACCCTCTACATACTACATATATATATATATATATACACACATTCACATGTCATATACCGATTTGTAACAACCCAAGGCCCAGCACAGCCGCCCGGCCTGACAGGCAAGGGCGGCTCTCCACTGGAGCGGCTGATGATGGGTTTCGATGGCCTGCTCGTGCTTCGTCAATCTCTGATGGTGTTGTTTTTGTGTGGTTCGTGGGTGTTATGGGACTTGTGAACCCTAAACCCTAAACCCTAAACCCTAAACCCTAAACCCTAATGTCAAGGATTTTGTGCGGTATCTGAGGGGTTAAATTCGTTCCGAGGGACACCGGTCCCTTCCTCCTCAACTGCTTGCTCCTCTTTAGGGTTTAGGGTTTAGGGTTTAGGGTTTGTGCCGCTGCGTACCCGGAATCACGCATCATAGTTCCAGGGCTTAGAGGCGGCAGTACCCCCAAACACTAAACCCTGAACGCTGAACCCTAGACCCTGAACCCTAAACCCTAAACCCTGAACCCTCAACCCTAAACCCTAAACCCGAAACCTTGGTCGACCTTCCAAGTAGGTTGCACCCAGTGCCTTTCTTAGGCAACTCTTGTGTATGCAGGACTCTGGGAGCTCCCTTGGGGATATAGACCCTCTCAATAAAGTCCCTTTTAAGAGGGCCAAAAGTAGGGTTCAGAAGGGGTACCCTTTAAGGGGTACCCCTAGTAATACTACCTAGACTCATGAACGTACTTACAACCAACTTGCAGAGGCCCCTTGTCGTCATCTAAACAGGCTTAACCATAGAGCCCACAAAGAACAACACCACTATTTCCCAAACCCTAAACTTCCTAAACCCCAACACCCAGCACCCTAAACTCTGCCCTAAACCCAAATAAATAAGAATTCCGAACCCTCGTCATTAGAACAAGGTTTTGTGTTTTTGTTGGGGGGCGCCTTATGCTGCAACACCTATTGTTCAGGAAACCCACTTTGGAACTCAACTAAGGCTCATAATAGGCTACTTCAACCCACTATCCATCTATCCATCTATCCATCTATTTGTCTATCTGTCTATATATGTATATATCTCTCTCTCACTCTCGCTCTCTCTCTCTTTCTCTCATTCTCTCTCTTCCTCTGTGTGTGCATATATGATATTAGTCTCATAAGCCCCCTTAGGCAAGCTTCGGCGCTACACGAGGGTCACGCTGGACATGTCTGCGATCCTATACGAGCCACATACTGTAGGGGCCTTAATCATGAGAATAG